TAATTATTTATATAAAAATAAGAAAAATGTATTTAATAATGTACCCTAATGTTTTGARAACAAAGGTATAAAACCGCAAGTACTGTAGATAGTAAAACTGCATAMTCTCTTTTATTATTTTAATACCTTTTGTGTATTTTCCTTAATAACTATTGGGCCTGAAAATAAAAATAGAAAATGAAAAAAATCAGTTACTAGACTGGTTCATCTGGTGAATCATTTATCTGCACATTGCTAACAAGCTGGTGGTTTGTCRGTCAGTTCTTCCTCATCACTGCAAATACAAGTCATGGATTTAAAATTAGTCATTACTGGAAGGGAAGTTTGTATTTCAAACAATGATGGCAGAAAGTCCAGGCTGAGACAGCGCTTCCAGGATGAAGTGCAGTTTGTTTTTATAATCCTATACTGAGGCCAAAGGCAAAAAAATAAGTTTTCCTCCTCTTTCCTACTGCCTGTGAAGAACCCAGCAGCAAATTTCGTTGATCAAGCTGCTGCTGTTTAGCTTAAATATTTGCTACTCGAGGAAACATTAATGCTTTTTCGAATATCTATTACTGGCCATGGCACATAGCTACAGTGCAGAAGTCTGTTACTCCTCCCTTTATAATTAGAAATGTCCCGTACAAATCAGAAATACTTAATGGCGTGACATAATTTCTGATTTTCCCTGTAAAAGACAGGATATTTTTTTTGCCAGTGCATTATCAGTAAAAGCATGGTGGTTGTTATATTAAACCTGCCTTAGCTTGTGCAGTCCTGGTGCTAGCAGTACCACGWCTCAAATGTTGACATTAAATCATCATCTTCACAAAGTACAAGGACTTCGTCCTAAAGAACTTGATCCTAAAAAAGGTACTGTTCACCATTGCTATGTCTTTTACAACAACATCCAAAAAGATGGCTTTTGGTATGTCCTTTGTATAGAGCCAGGCAGGCTGAAAGATGAAGCTTGAAGTCCTTCAATAAGTTTGCTTCCTGCATCATTAGGATAAGCCTCATTATTTTTTCAAAAATTGTTTTAGAATAACTCTAAGATTGCCAAGAATCACTTATGGAAACAGTTTTTTATATTAGATTTCTTTAAAAAAAGCATAATTTTAAGCTTATTGCTTAAAGTTTTGCCAATTTTTCAGTAGTCTTTTTATAGTGGTTTTTCTGCTTTTATTCAGCTGCTATATTGCTGCATCAACCTTGTGAAAAAAAATCCTCAGATGCTTTTTCATCTTTCTACTCTGTGAAGAGTAAAGAAAATTAAGTGCTGATCAGTTTTTCTTTATTCCCACGTTACAATTCTATAAGATCACATTTTCTATAGTATCTTTTTCTATCCATTATGACTATATTAGTGTGCAGTGAGAAACATTTGTGTAGCTGAAATATTCCCCAAGAGTCAGCCTCTAGCACTCATTTTGTCTTTCTGCTTAGCACTTGACCAATTTCTAGTTATATTCTTACCTCTGACAAATACTCATCTTCTAAATCAATATATTTCAAACTTTTGATGGACAATATTGTCCCTAATATTCTCCATACCAATATCCAGCTCTCTCTTCTTCTGTCTTCTCCGGCATTACTCCTTCCAGTTTGGGAGAGGAATGAGCATTTGTTAGGTTTTCTGGTTTTGCTAGTCTCTTCTGATAAAGTRCAGGTAAGACTTGAAGCAACCAACCAGGTGTGACCTCCTGGGCATGATATATTTCTTGCACAGGGAGTATCTCTAACCCCAGAAAGGTGTGTCATAGCTGGTCCTGTAACATCTCGGGGTACCGATACTCATTGGTTCTCCCTATTTTTCCTGTGGGACTGCTTTCAATCTATCTTTAGCTGGTTCGTTTCTTGGGTTTAGACAACATATCGCAGTTGAAAGTGTGAACCGTTCAAGCAGTTTGAGGAATCCTGTTTTATCACCTAAGAATATGCCAGAGAGAGTTTTCTTCACATGCTACCTATCACAGTTGTGATAAACATCACGAGCAACGTTCATATTAAGATAATTTAGTGGGAGATCAACATGGGGCACTTCTCACTGGTGGCAAGTTGGATTGATTTATTTATTCAGCGATTCGTTTTTGTTAAATACGCCAGACAGGAGGTCAGTGATCCTTGCTGAGATCTCTACTGTGAGCAGAAACAGAGAAGTTGTGACGAGACTGAGCCAACCACCCAAACTACTACAGGCAACTTCTGTATCCTAGTGATCCTGGTGTACTCAGCTTGGTGACAGAGTATGAAAGACAACTTTCATTGTTTACTGACCTACAATAGAAAGGAATTGTGTGTGTGTGTGTGTGTGTGTATGCATATATATATATATATATATATATATATATATAAAAGAAGTAGAATAAAGATCAGAACAAGAGGCAAATAGTAGTAATCCAGTGCCCTTGAGTAGGATTTGTCTCATTTAATTCCTGCCTTGTGAACAGTTGAAATGTAGTCTAAACTAGTCATCCTGGGTGGGAATCCAAAGTCCTGTTTACAGACAGGGAGAAAAGTTGGTGTATTTTTCTGGTTATTCAGTCACGGTAATGGCACCCTCATTCCTATCTGGGCTGTATCTGTGAAGGAGCCATTGCCTCTCTTCTGCAACAAGGACGTGAAGTCCATGTCTCAACTCCATTAGATGTTTCCTTGATCCRTAAACATGATCTCTGTCTCTGGGTTGAATTTAATCTTTTTTTTCCCTACAATTGTATGCCATCAGGTGTCATTCACAGTAGCTTAATGATAAACAGTAATAATAATAATAATATAACCTGTGGATTGTTTTTTTCTGTGACTTAAGAATGTGGTATGAGCTGAAAGGATCACACAGTATGTTTGTTGCTGCATGTTGTAAGAGAGAAGATGGAACTGGTGAACCTTGTTTGTCTACTGATTATGCTGCCCTTAAGAATTATTTAATCTATTGAGGAGTGGCTCTGTACAGTCTTTTCTGGGTTAACAGATTAACCATCTAACGTAATCATTGGGAGTTTTTGCTTTATGATTATCTCCAAGATGATTGCTCTGTACCTAGACTGTTTCCACACCATCAGTCCATCTAAAGCTAATGAAGCAGTTTACGGCCCCTTACAGATGAACTTTCATTGTTCAATTTACTTTGCTTTTTTTAATTAGTTTGGACGACCATCACAACCGTGTAAACTCAGGTTTTTCATTGTTTCTCCTGTTATTATCCTTTTCTGAAGTCACAAGTTAAACTTGTTTGTTTTATCTCAATGTTTATCTTACTGGAAAAATAATTTAACAAGAGAAATAAATTCTCTTGCGGCAATATAGAAGTATCACRAAGTAATTTGCTTCATAATATTACTCTGCTACGATGAACAAAATGTAAAGCAACAGATGTATAGAAGAAACTGAGTAATATATTACYATTATTATGAGCGAGGGAAAAAAAWTAGCTTGCTCCTGCTTGAATAAATTTCACTGGTCTCTTGAATAGCTTCAGATAATTTAAAATAATCCTTTCATATAATGAACTGGCAAGCTAATTAATCGTGGATTGCCACAGTATGGTGTAACTCTGTTAGTCTGAGAGCCCTTTAAAATTTTGGCAAAGTTGTGAAGTGGATTTAGTTGAAACTGCAATTGAATGGATTTCCCAATCAATATATTTGCAAAATGTTACAGAATATTATTACAGGCAGCAACTGTGGTAATTGCTACGTTTTATCCTTCTTTAAAACAATGTAGTTGAAAGTGGCAGATGGTAGCTAATGATTAACATTCCTAGTAAACAAAATTTTGCATGGATATATTTAAAGTGGTTGCATGTATATAAATAGACAGTGAGCATGAGCTATGCAACTATAATTGAATTTTATTAGCATAACTTAAGTAGAAGTTTAGTAAACACCAAACACCTTAATTAACTTGCACAGTATTAGAAGGTTAATGAAACACCCACTATAAATGACTCTTCAAAGTGTTTGGCAACAAGATAGTTTAGAGCCAAACTAATACATGATAACTCACTCTTTCCAGCTAGTGTAGGGCAGCTGTTTTGGAGCTCTGTATTTAACTCCTAAAGGTCAAGCTTGGCCTTTGCTGGGATTTCTGGATTCTGGTTGAATCCAACAGCTTTTCCTACAGCAAGAAATGTGTCTTGAGTCTTGCAGGCTCAGGTCCTCAGTAAGGTCTTCAAGTGGTGCCCACCTGCTTTCCAGAGAGCCTTTGCACTCATGGCTCTTAACATACCATGGGTTTTGGTTTTGTTTTGTTATTCTTTAGTTCAGACCATACGATTTTACACTTCCGAACTCAGAGGCGTGGGTCTCTTTGCCAGCAGTTTATCCAGAAGTATTGCATAGCCCTTGTGCTAAGAAAATATATCAACTCTTTTTGTGCTGCTTCACTTGGTAGGCGCAACAATTGTCTGTTTCCAGTTGCAGCTTTTCCAGTCTTTCCTTTCTCTACCSTTTTGTTATTATTTTTGCTGATGTAGTTTCTGCAAAATATGCAAATTGCAAGTTATTGTCGGTGCAAGACATGCAACCGAATCTTGTTGTGGGAACTGTCAGGTCTGTACGTCAGAGCCTGGTCTGAGCTGCGCATCTTTTTAGCTAAAGCATATATTATTCATTAATGCTTGTTTTGAAATCATAATGGAGGGGTTGGAAGGCTGATTGCAAATCAGTAGTGATTTGTCTGTTTATTCTACTAAATAAAGAAAATAAAGAATTCCATCTGTGGTTATTCTGGTTAATTACTATAAGAATACTGGTGAGATAAGAAACTATATGCAAATTGGTAAGAAATTAATTCCTGTTGTATTTGATTAATTTGGCAAAAAACATTTTGACTCCACAAGTGGTGATATTTATATTCTTGTCTCCCACAGAAGACTGTTTCATAAATAAACTAGCATTTCTCTCGGGAAAGAAATGTAAATTTTGCTGACAAGCTGAGGTCTCTCGTCAGAAAATGCTGCCAGTTTTACTCGGTGGTCAACTGACTGATTTCTTTTCTCCTTTTCATTTCTCTTTTAGATGCTGAAGAATACCAGCCTCCAATATGGAAATCATACTGTGAGTATACCTGAAATTTGAATRATTTTATGACCTTACTAGGGCGTCATTTTTTGGCCTTTTCCTTTTTTTATTTAAAAAAAGAAAAAAAAAAAAGAAAAAAAAACCGAGGTTTTTGTAGAAATTGCTCTGTGGGCCAACAGCAAAAACTGATGTTTTCTAATTCTGTGAAGAGCAAGCCCAGGGGACAGATTGTGTGGGTATCTTTGCTAATGGGCAGATCCTGGGTGTCATGGTTTCTCTGCCTAGACTGTCAGGAAGGATTTCAGATGTAAAGGTTCATGTTCGTCCTTCACGCATTTACTACAGGTCAGATTGAATATACTTGTCTTTTTTTTATGGGTCACCAACTGCCTTTCAGATAATAATGTTTTTGATCCTTAGTGCTATAAGCTGATTTTGAAGCGGTAGTTTAGAAGTTTGAGACATCATTATCAGCTCTTTGAACTCTCCTGTCTRCCCTTAGAAAAATGATTTATACAGAATGTAGTAGGAGAAATGCATATTTGATGCTTTCTTTGCTTTGTTCCAAAACAGGTTTTCTAATAAAATAGCCCTGATCTAAGAAAAAACTTTGACTTTTAAAGCCCTTTTTAAAGGTTGGCTGTGCATTTTATCTTTTTACGTTATATTTTTACTGAAACTTTAATAAAACTGTAGCTTTTTTTTTAAACTGACAACTTCAAATTATGTAGAGAGCTACCAAGACAGGGATCACGGTGCTTCACTTATATGCACATATAAGTTATATGTGCTTCACTTATATGCACATATAACTACTCTTGCTAACTTCAATAGCATTGTCTATATGCCAAAATTAAAGCTCACTATTGAATTGCAAAATTTGTTTCTCAGAAGAGAGACTTACAGCTTTTTCACTGCAATATTTTGTATATGTAAGGGAAACATCCTTAAATTCAGAAGGAATATAATGATTTTAGTTGAATTATTACAGTGCATCTCACTGATACAATAAGTGGATGCATTAAGAGTGTTTTTTTAAGAAGAGATGTACAGCCATTTTAAAATAAATGGAAAACTCCCATTGAGTCTGATGGGACAAAAATTTCAAATGGCAGATGATGCCTCTTTTTGCAATAAGGAAATTTATATTTAAAAATTAAAAGAATAAGCACATACTTAGCTTACCTTCTAGTCCAAACACTGATGCAACAGTTACATGTGGTGGAAAATATTTGGTTCTATTTGCCTGATTGCTAACCTATACTCCAAGAAAATATTAAAAAATAAGAAAGCAGAATGATCTAATAGAATATGAATATATAATTTCCTATTCGGATCAATGTAGGATGCCAGTTTTGTGGCAATGGCAAGGTCATGGCCTGAGCATCTGAACTCCATGCATGAGTGACCTTGGAAAAAATTGCACAGTTCCAAAATGGAGATAGTAGTTTAAGATTACAGAGATTTACTGCTGAGACTATTTAGCCGTAGACATATGTTTTTCATTGCAATATTGGGTAAAAACTGCTTCTTTCATCTGTCACAAAAATCCCAATCTGGAAAAATAATTATAGAATTATTTCCAGTGTTAGTTCATCATAAAAACTAATTCTGTGTCTTATCACAGTTATAAGTTAGTGCTTGTATTTTATTTTATTATTATTTGTGCATTTTAGCTTATTTGTCTTTAATTATGCTAATAAAATACTTTGCATACAGTTTTCGTTTCTTCCTTAAGCCTTATATAAATCCATGTGCACTCTGATGTCTTTTATTGGCACAGTAACCAGGGCCTCGCTCCTTCTAGCTTCCCCACAAAGGCAGATTTTCCTGTTTATGCACGCTAAGTATTCAAATACACACTGCTCTGCATATCCATGGGCAAAGCTGAACAAAGTGAAGCAACTTCCTTGCTCTTTGGCATAATTTCTAAGCTTGTTTTAGTTGTATTTGAAATCACAGTTATGCGAAGTTCTGCATAAAAGATCAGTAGTTCTAATCTTCACCTGTTTAGGAAGAATTATTAGAAGGCATGTGTTTTTCAGAGATTACCATTTTTTTCAGACATTTTTGTCAACCCTGGGAGACAGAGGGAAACAGAAATAGCAAGAACAATTTAATATTGCCAGCACAGGACTTGGAAAAAAGTTGGAAAGTAACTAGCAATCAGCAGTCACTAAGTAGTGGATTTGACTACATTCCTACCTTAGATATAGGTACATAAATAAATAGCCAACAACAGGTTTCTTTTTTTGTAGTCTGTTGTGTGTTGGAAATACTATATGAAATTATATTTTACCTTTTTACCATCACTGAGTTGGAAACAAAGGAAGATTAAGTGTCACAGAAATGTTGCTTGGCAGGGACCTTTGGAGTTATCTAGTCCAACATTCCATGTGCAGTCATACTGTTCTCAGCTATCACTGGCTTTATCAGCTCTATCTTGCTGGRTCTTGGACACCTCCAGGGATCCTGCCACCGCTCTGGGAAACCTGCCCCAGCAGCACAGCCCTGCCCTCTTAGTGAGGAGACAAGAATCCCGTCTTAATGCGTGTGGACAAGTTGTTGGGCTGCTGAAATAGCTTAGCAAGTTCTGGCTTCCAGCTGCAGAACACATGTATGTGTGTTTTGAAGAGATGTGTAGCATGTATGTCTCTCCTCTTAGCACCGGGGAGATTGCTCTCAGCTATGTATATTAAATGTCATGGCTGTTTTAATGGATATTTTTCATTGTTTGAGATCAGTGTGATGGTGTGAAGGACAGTAAAGTGGTAAGGCACAAAATATTGGTTAATGCCATGGTCCAGCTCTTTGCAAAGTTCCCTGGCCTTCTGCAGCAAATAGTCAGGACAAAGTCTGAGTCACGTATCTGTCATAAATTAAAGCATTCTCTCTTCCTTGCCCTTGGTCCACGCATGTGAGTAATCCCACGTTGGGGTGGGAGAGCGTGGATCATTCAAGTTAGGTATACACATAAATTCTTGACTGAGTTGAGACCAAAGAGCTAAAACTAAGGCACTCTGGTGAAGCATTTGCTGACAGAAGGCAGTGTGTCTTTTTGCTGCTTTATAAAAGCAATGATAGGAATTTTTCCTCTCCAGTGGAGCATAACTGAACAGAAATCATAGATGAGTTAAAATAGGAAMTTGAGTTGCCAGCACATTGCAGAATGAAAGAAGTATGAAGAAACTGGTGATAGTCCTTCTCCCCTGGCAGAAGAGGAGGAAGGAAGGCTTCTGCATGTCACTGCTTTGTTACTCACACAGAACAGATTTCATAATTAAGACAGTTCTTTCTAAAATGTATTGTAGAATTTTCCCTTATTCATTCCACCAGACAAGTCTTGCTCTCTCCCTGCAACAAAAGATGAGATAGATATTCTTGCTAGTTACTTTACATCTCAAAGAAACATTTCTCTAGAAATTAGGTAATCATTTAAAGTTTTGCTAACTTTATTAAGCTCTCAAATTGCTTATGCTGCTATGAATGCCAGCGACCTATTTGAATTATGAAACTTTTAAAGATTGTCAAAGAGGTAACTAAAAGGCATTGGATTTTATTGCATTTTAGTCAGAAATTAAGTCCGCGTTCTTATGATGTGTTTCAACTCAATCTGGACCAAGAATGATGCTATTCTCTCAGTAGTAATAATACATCTCCTTTTCTTATAAAGTTGACACAAAATAATAACACAACATTTTGTTCAAAGTGTCATCCTTTTTATGATCAAAGTGATTTTGTCTCTGAACTGTCCGGAGGTCCTCAAAGCTGAGACAGACTGGGTTACATGCCAGTCACTGCCTACAACTGTGTTAAATAAACCTTTTTTTTCTATTATTTCAGTCAACTGTATCCCTATAAATAGGATTCTGTCTTAAAATATTCAAAAAGGAGGGGAAGGAAGGAAATGGGGCAGAAAGGTGAAGTTTGTTTGTCCCAGTTTGAGCACGTAAGGAAGGGAGGTGTTTGCTGTGGCTGCCAGGGTCTCAACCCGGGGCGGTGAGGCTGGCACTGCTTAAGAAGTACATGATGAAACCAGACAGAGCTGCGGGACATTCAGCCCWTCTCAAAATGAGGTCACTTAATGAGGTGCCTGGGCTCATGGGAACTCAGCTTCAGGGCACACATATTCTCAAGTCACCTTAGCTGTAGTCGTCACTTGTACTCGTACCTCATCTGCCGCCTTTTGTGTGGCAGTCCTTTGAAACAAAAACAGGATAGGGCTTTCTAAGAAAATAACGTGATTTTTGTGTCTTTTCCTAATTTTTTTTTCTTATTTGGCCTTTCACTGTTTTTTCCTCCTCTGCTCTTGCTGCCTGTCTTTCAGGAGTATTCCTGGCAGTCGGGGGCCTGCCTGTCCCTTCTTTGCTGTTTCTTTCTCACTGAGTTGCTGGGCTTTCCTTACCCTGATGCTGATAATAGTTCTCAGCCCTTCTTATCTGCTCCCAATCTGCCTCTCCCTCAGTCCAATTGTTTAGCATCTCTCTCCAATATTTCCACTGAGTAGTCATTCTGTCAGTTTAAACTTAATACGGCCTAAGCTGAATTCTTTATCTTTCCCATGAAACCATTTCCCATTCATGTTTTCTGTGATTACCACCATTCACAAGCTCAGTCATGCTTGTTACTTGGGGCCATTTTCTCATCCTGCACATTTAAAGCAGCATGTAAATCATTGCTATTATTTATTTGTATAGTAATGATCTTATTACATTCTGCTCTGATGTATTTCTAAATGATATCTCTTGCTCTATGCAGATTATCATGCAGATTAATTACCCATGCCTCTCTGAAAATGACAGCAACCTTTTGCAGCCTATTCAAAACACGATTGTTAAGATGATTTGTCTTTCTTGTCATTCTTTGTGAATCCCTCCACTGATTCATCCCTCTGCATCCTATCAACATCCAGGCTTTTGTGCAGGCTTTCAAAGCTTTCATATATCTGCCCTTTCCTATTAGTCATTCCCTCCTTTGTTTTGTGACATGCTGATTTCTTTCCCCACCCTTGCTTCTCCAGTGATATCAGCCTCCGTCATCCTTGTGGCCATTTCCAGGAGTTCTTTACTTCCTTCGTTTCTTTCCCTCGTTTCTTACACATTGCAAAGTCACAAGATAGGTTGCATCTGTGTTCTTCACACAACTTCTTTTATACCACAGCCAACAAGTTTACCTGAGAAACAGCTTCAGTGGCTTAATTTTGCTCAATCAATTAATAACTAACAGTTTTTATCACTGAAAATAGGATTTTTGATTTTTGTGAATAATTATTCTTTCCTAATAATTTAACTGAATGAATGGGGAAATGGAGCTTTTATTTTAAATGATGAGGAAGCAATCATATTTTTGCAATATATTGCTTCCTCAGAGATCCTTTTCCCTACTGGAAATGTATGGAGGGGGACAGAAAAAAAGTTGCTATTTTCCTCTTGAATATGTTTAATATTAAGCATGAGCTACTTCCTAACTCAGCAATGATACTATTTCAAATAGTCAAATATGGGCAACTTAAAAGCAGAATGTTTGGCTCCAGGGTAATGAGTTTTTTTAAACATGGTCTCTGATTTTTGAACTGGAGTTTTCTTGCACATCTAGATGGAGCAGCTAGTCCTGGACACTGTTTTCAGACATGTGAAGGACAAGAAGATGATTGGGAGTAGTCAGCAGAAGTTTATGAAGGGAAAATTGTGCTTAACCAACCTGATAGCCTTCTGTGAAGAGATGACTAGCTTGGTAAATAGGAGGAGAGCAGTGGATGTTATTACCGTGACTTTAGTAAGGCTTTKGACACTGTCTCTCATAAAAGCCCYATAGATGAGCTGATGAAGTGTAAGCTAAATAGGCGGTCAATGAGGTGGCTTGAAAACTAGTTGAACCGCTGCACTCAGAGAATCCTATCAGCAGCAGCATGAAGTCCAGTTGGAGAGCATTCACTAGTGGTGTYCTCAGGGACCAATATTGAGTTCAATACTGTCTAAAAGTTTTGTTAATGAACTGGATGATGAGACAGAATGCACCTTCAGCCAGGCTGAAACCCCAGATGGCTGTGCTCCTGTTCAGAGGAAGCTTGAGAAGGAGCCTCATGCTTGAGAGCAAGCTGGAGAATGAACCTCAGAAAGTGACAAGTCCTGCCCCTGGGCAGAAATAACCCCTTGCACAAGTACAGGCCGGGAGACAACCAGCTGGAGRGCAGCTTTGCAGAGAAGGCCATAARGGTCCTGGTGGACAACAAGTTGGACGTAGACCAGCAGTGCACCTTCATGATAAAGCAGTGCATTAGGAGTATTGGCCATCAGGCTGGGGGAAGTGATCCTTCCCTTCAACTCAATATGAGTGAAGCCACATCTGGAGTGCCGGGTCCAGGTCTGGGCTGTCCTGGATAAGAAAGTACAGAAAAACTGTTAGGGATACAGAAGACATTTAATCAGAAAATGAAAAGTGAAGGATTTGAATCTTACTCTGTTAAACTCTGCAAAGGGGTAAGAAATACTACTGGCTAGCTGGTCTAAAAGKGGTGGGAGGTCTGACAGTGCTAGATGAGGTAGGTTATCTTAGTAAATATTCAGAGCTGGATCATGTTTTTTGTACATTAACTATATGGAATATAAGAAATCATGAACTGTCTTGCTATGTCCCTTTTGGGGGCTGGGGATGGAGATGAGTTTGATAAAAGGAGGGSATATGGTTTTATTTGCTTAGAGATTAGCGGAGAATATAGCGCCACAAAACTTCCATATTTCTTGAGTAACAAACTTGTAGGTAAGCCCAGGACTTCCATGCTCTTCAAGGACATTGCAGTTGATGTTAACCCCATTTAAAGAGAAGGTGAGCAAGGTAACAGAAGGTGCTAACGTGTAACCCCTACCATTTCTATTCACTATCTGCAGCAGGAACTCTGGGGTTTATCAAACCTACAGACATTTATTTCTCCTCCTTCTTTTCCCCCCATTGTCTACCACCTCATAATTCAGAGTGTTACAAGAGTTGTGAAGAGCTCTATCCTAGAAATTTGGCTTTTAGGAAAAAGCATAGGACACAACAGTCTTTCCAAATGCAAGAAGATCAGCATACAGAGGGCCATTCTCTAGGGAGGCAATCCAAACCTTTGGGATTTTTCCTGGAGTTATGGAGAGACAGTCTGTCTGCATTGGAATTGATTACTGTCATTGTCTGTCAACTTCCTCTCCTGACTTTTGAGTGGAAAGGAAGGAAAGGGTCTCATTAAATACATGAAGGGAAGAGGCTGGGGGCCAGAGTTCAGCAACTGCATCTAACCTCGGATTTCTCTTCTGGAGCCCTAACAAGATGTGCAAAATTGATCCGAGGCTATTTGAATACAGTATAATTATCCTAAAAGCAATGCTTGCTTACTCATAAATAATTAACAGCACAACTTAAAAAATAAATTATAAGATTCTAGTAAACTCTTTCAGATACAGTGAGCTTTTTCTTCGCTTATCAAAAAAGCATGAGTGCTATATTCCAAAATCCTGCTTGAGTTGTAATGTCGTGGTGTATGCAGAAGCATGATTGTATACTGAGGTAGGAAGTTCATAGGAAGTTCTTCYGTGTACTTTTCCCCAGTATAGAAACTTAGCAAGTAACAAATACTAAAGAGTTAAAGCAATCTAAGTTAAATGTCTAAGAGTTCTAAGAGTTAAAACACTTAATCAATTTGACAAGTTTACAGGTTTTACTAGTTTTGATATAAGGGACTTGTGTACAGTCCAAAATTCCTCTATTTGTCATCCTTTTCTTTGCATTTGAATTTTTCTCTGGAGATCCCAGCTAAAATAAGCATCAGAATCAAAAGTTTGTGTATGTTGCAATCCTCTAATTATCTTTACGTTTTTATGTTTGACAGTGTATCAGTTACAACAAGAGGCGCCACGTCCCAAGAGAATCATTTGTCCTCGGGAGGTCAGTTCTTCTTTTACTGTACCTTGTTAAATCTGATGAATTGTCAGCAGCCTATTATTCTGGGAGATCTTTTGTACCGTCCAAGGRTAGTATGCTCTTTAATTTTCCTACTCCATCATTTTCTATAATCATTTTTTCCTGAGGTTGATTAATTAAAGCAGATTAATATTTGCTAATTAGACTTGGAGGCTGAAATATGCAAAATATTGCCACTGGAAGTCCCTTCATTAGACAAATACTCATTAATCGTTGCTTACTGTTGCTCTTCTGTATGTTACCTAACCATTTGTGTTTCATTATGAAAATGGAGCAGCATAAARTCTCTTTCCTTCCTATATCTGCGTGTTAGAGTATACGGGATAAGTTTTGACATGATTCATGCCTTTCCAATCTGTAGAAACTACTTTGCCAATCCTGAACTGGTAGCAGTAGAGCTTAGTTCTGTCTTGGAGACTTTAAAGATTGGAGAATATTAAGGGATATGTAAGACTGACCATTTTGCAGAGTCATCTTGTTGCTCTGTTTTCTTTATTTTTTCTGTGTTCTTCTATCCACATAAATAAGTTAGTTCCATAAGCTGCCTTGAATCATTGCAGTCATAAAAATGTGTCGACTTCTCTGCCCAGTCAATAAAATCGTGGTAGTTTTACAATAGTTTTATCTTCACTGATGTCAGGGACAAGTTCTTTGCAAAGMCACATGTTCATATTAGCAATAGAAATACTGAATATAGGGAGTGGTTACACAAGATATAGAGGATTTTGTGTATGAAAGGGGACATAAGCATCAATATGACACATAGCTCTGTTTTCAACTATAGTCCTGAGCTTTGAGTATCCATTTAAATAGACCCCTAGCAAAGTCTGTCAAATATTAACAGATACCGTTGTGGAACATGGGACAGGGAGTGGTGYAGCAAGGCAAGGGGGACCTGAAGGATTTTACACATAAGAAGGTCCATTGCAAAGCTGGGAATTAAATCCTGATTTCTTGAGTCCATCTCATGCTATAACTAAAGGACTGTTGTTTTTTTTTTCCCTTCCCTCAAATGSTGCTGGGCAGCTGTTTCAGAGCCAAGGAGCAGCATCTTGGCTTCAGACTGGAAGTCTCTGAGCTCTGTCCACATGCCCACTAGTGTGGATAAATTGCTGAAAAATTTTAGTAGGATCTTCAGAAAATATGGTTCATTATGGGAACTTCATTATGGGAACCAAAGTGGTTGGGCCCAAATAGTGATTAGGCTACCTCAGTTTTAAGTTTGTCTACATGAGAGCAAATTTGGATGAAGATAAAATGTGATTTTAATGCAGAATAACAATTTGTATTCTTGTGCTAGAAACGAGAGCATCTCCATAAGTGAGTGAAGCAAATGAGCAATTCTGAGCTGTTTATCAGCTTACTTTATTGAACTTCATTCCTTAGATACTTCCTGCATATTTTCCACACCTAAAGTTATCCTTTCTTTCCTTTTCCTTACGTTAAAAGACTGCAGATAATTAATTCCTATTCAGGTCCCTTCTAAAGATGTACAGAAAGAAGCCAAGGCCAGCCTGTATTAACCAAATGAATGATTAATTGACAAACCAGTGCATAACGAAATAGGTAAAAAATACCTGGTTCATATCATTTTTTTTTTTGATTCTGACTAATGAGCCATTTTTTGGTGATTCACTTTCTGGACTAGAGAAAGTTCTATTTTGATTTGGCTTTATTTATTTATTTATTTAAATTTACTAAATCATTTGAAAATAAAGAGACTTTACTCAAGCTTAGGGAATATATAAACCAGTGTAAATCCTTAAAAATATGATCTTTGAATTATTACTTGGATTGYGAGTCTTTGTGTAAATCAGCTGTGTCCGTAGCCTGATTTCCAAAACAAAAAATTCTCTGACTGTGGACTGTTATTTCAACAGTGATGATGATGTACTTAATTTTTATATTTTAATTTTACATAAACGTATGTAAAATATGCTTATATTAGGACWTCAGGACTTTTTCCTGATATCTAGATCTCTCATTAGGTTCACAGTTTTGCTTTTATATAAAGTAGAACTTTATAATGGCTTTAAAGAGCATCACAGATTATTTAAAAGAGAAATTCAGTAATTTGTTCCTATGGCACCTATTAGCATTTCCTTAAATCACAACTTTTATGCTTTAATCTGTTCTGATGACCTTATAAGCTTTCTTCCTCAAGAAGTGGCATCCTCTTAGTCTTGGATTTCTGTTAGTTTCATTGAAAAATCTCAATCCTTTTTTTTTTATAATTAGTGTAGAAACATTAATCAGCAATATGACAGTTATTTAGTATGCAACATAACATTCATGCAACATCTGGAGAGCAGGTGTCAGCGAGATATGAGTGACACTGGAAAAATATATCTCTCCAGATGAATATCATAAGAACTGGATGTAGCTGAGGGTGCTCTCTTGTGTGATTTAGRATTCAAAGGACTTCTGACAGATGTGATGAAAAAATAGAAGTAATTTTAAACCCTTCATGTTTATRGGAAGATGTTTTTCATTTGTAAGAGCTGAAATCTGCCCTGTTTACAAGGAAATTTAAGTGTCTGCTGAAAAAYAAAACCTGTAGCATTAATAGATAAACTTGTGAAGTATTGTGTTCTCCTTTCACCATTTTTTATCATCCAACTTCTCCACTGCTCTCTTCAGTGTTCTCCGTGTGCATTGCACCTCTGTACTTGGTTGTCACAAAGGTTTTAGCCTCAGATCTCAGCAGTTCTGCCGTCTCAGTTGTGTGGATTTCATTATTAGCTGCACTGTGAAGACWGAAATCATTTGTCCTGATACACAGACAACCAGACTAGGAGTGGGACTGGGGCTGTAAATAAAACATGAACATTTAGAGCTTTGTGTGTCTTCGAGCTTTGCTATCATGATTTTCTTTTTCCCTTCTGCCTTGTCTGGAAAAGCAGGTCATTYCTTCAATGGAAATCATATGGAGTGAACTGTTGGGGCTTCAGGTATCTAACGACCTTTAATTAATCACTACTGGCAGCATGAATAGTGCAAATATCCTATCTTCCCAATAACTTTGGTTTTCTGCCAGTACCCTAATTTGTAACTGTATTCCTTCCAGCAATGTTTTAATGGCTTATTTTTTACATTAAAAAAAAAATAGTTTAGAAGTGCCATTCAGGTGTAGGAGTAACTTCTGAATAGCATGCTTGTAGGTGTAAGTGTAATGGTATGCAGTGAGGATTCAGGTGAATTTTGTGAGGAAGTCATATTAAAAAGCATGTTTTAGAATTTATTCTACAGAAACGATGATCCAAAATGACACATTCACAGAAAAAATCCAGCAAAACATTCAACTTAATTTTTATTCTAAATTAAGTATTAAATTATTTTCATTTTAAAATATTTTTCAATAGGCTCTTCTAAGTTAAAATGACTTTTAAAGAAATTGAGATTTTAAGACAGTAATAGGTTTAAGAAAGAAACAGTGACACTTTTGGGGAATGTTTTCTGCAACTGCTGGTAAACAACAGGCTTGTTATAAATTTCCTTCAAAGAGTGAGTCTTAGTCGTGACTCTTATGTTCCTTGTCTAGAGTCGTTCAGATATTCCTACCTGTGAATGTTATTCCTGTTCTGTTCCATGAAAGTCTAATAGCTGACAGCGATTTTTGCGGCTGCGGAGTCTGCCTACATGAGACCTTTCATATTCCTTACAGCGCTTCGGCCAAGCCAGTGTCAGCAACAGTGAGAAACTTGTCTAAATTTCCCTAGTGTAGACAAAGCCTTGAAGCCTTACTTATATTATTATGTAGAAAAAAATGTCAGTTAATTGGCCTCTTCATTTTCCTGAATACCAAATAGGTTGTGTCAGAAGCAGTAGAAAGATTCTGGCTGCCCTCAAAGCAGCAAAATAGTGGTTCCTGGATTAAAAGCAAATGTGATTACGGTAGGGAGATTTTATTCTCCTCCCCCAATCATTTTTTCTTTGCTTAAGTGATACTAGGAGACTGAAATAAGGGTATCTTCAGACCGTCATAATCTGAAACATGACCAATTGTTCTTTGCTCAGTTATCCTCAAATAATCTTTTGAAATAAGAGATCTGAGCTAGCAGCAGTAGGGCATAGGAGAGTTTCATTTAAACAATAACAATATTGAAAAGTGCTTTAAAAATTCCAGATTACTTCTGTCAGTTTTGCTTTCAAATRCAACAGTATTTTGTCTTTGTAGCGAAGAAAAATCTTTCGGTAGGACAGTTCCAGAATTAGATAAACTTGAGCAAGGTTGCTAAAATTAAGCCTTAGTAAGATGCTTGCAGACTATATCAGAGCGGATGATAGGTGTTTAATCATTGCAGGAAGTCTTCCGTGAATTCCCTTAATTCTGCTCACTTAATGACCTTTATAAGCTGAATACATTTTCTTTCCATCTGCCCTCACCTGTCTATGAACAGTGTGTATACTATAGTAGAGAGATGGAATAGGCTGAAATTACCCGTAAAATTGGTGGTAAATAATGAGAGTAAATGGGAATTTTCACAGCACTTGTTCAAATCACTAAACTGCAAAAATGCAAACACTGCCATGAAAAGATGTCTCATTGTCAGTCCTGGGAGTTTATCAAAGATTWTTCAGAATATCATCTTTTCCCTCGAAAGAAACCCCAGATCACACACAGTGACACGCCAAGAGACCCCATTAGACAGCAATTAATGAAAATGAGCAGAATTGTCCTGAAGCCTATTTTCATTAATGAAAGTGTTTGTACATATAAGACTTAATGGAGCCTACATCTTAAAATTGTTACAGTATAAACGCTAGTTTAATTGTGTTTTTATAATCCCATRTTTATGGGAGGGACAAAAATAAACATGGAGAATGCAGCAATCATTTTCTGTGGGTTGCAAGTGGAGCTGGAGAACAATTTTGAAGAGACAGTGACAAAAGGAGGAAAGTTCATCTGAGATCTGTGCTGAAAAGAGTAAAAGAGTTGAAGACCAAGAAGGATCTGTGATTAT